GTCCGCTAGCACTTTCGGCGTGAGCAGACGTGCGAAGAAAACCCCAACCATGCCATCTTGTGATGACTGTGGACTCCATGTTTCAAGACATGCATGATTTGCAAAACACAGAAGAAACTGGAAGTCCCGTAAAGTCTTCATGCGTATCCACCGGGAATACCCAAGCGAAAAGGAAGTGGGAGGAAGGCTGGCATAACTTCTCTCCCAGAAGGCACCACGGTACACTGCTGTCAGATTGTAACACATTAGGTCATGGCGTTTAGCAACAACCACAACTTCACAAAGACATTTTACACGATAAAACAATGTCCTGAAATGGAAAATGATGATGATGAATCATTAAACGATGTCACACAAAACAACAGGGAAAAAAAAGATGGCTGATCTCGAAGAGCAAGGTATAAGATTAAATGTATTCACGTACACGTGAGCTGAATAGCACTCTTTGGATGAGAAACGATAGCCACACACGAAAAAGAGGTTTCTAAACGAAGACACCCAGATTCAAGCCGCCAAACTGAACAAATACATGTGAGCATCAGTTTAAAGAGACGTATGCTCTGGATTTATTACTTATCTGTAAAATTATGCAGTATGGTCCAAAACACACAAGGGAATACCTCGAAACAAGTAGGAGACACAAATAATCTGTATCATGATGTGTTTTCTCCAATCTGTACCAATATAAGTCTTGGGTCGAAGGTTTGACCTAAGATGATAATGCAGACATAACATCTGGATGAAGAGAGTGGAAGGCTATGACGATTAGGAACGGTGATAAGACAACAGACGTAAAGTAAACTTCTGGGAGCGTCTCCTATCCCAGGTAGTTGTACCTTCGTTTGAAATGGAGCTAATAAAAAAAATGAAATTCCAGTTTTCATTCCTTGTTTTTTGTGATGTATACCTCGTAAGTAGCCACATTAACTTGAAGTGCGCCCAGTGGCAGCAAGATGATCCCCGGAGTTGAGAATGGTAATATGGTTGCATGATGGACATCCAAAGAACAAGTTGCCAGCCCTTTGAGCATGCATGCGCGGTATGGACCATAGTGCCATATAAATACCCATATAAAAAATTATATACACCTGTGAGTTGTCATTTATGATTACCTTTTCATGCTAACACTATACAATTGGCCCCCCATCTCTGGATGCATGGAATTTTAGAAAGTTGGAGTTGCATTCCTAAATATGATGTACCAAAAACCCTCTGCATGACCAGAACGCACATTTCAGTTTTTCGACACGCCTCTTTGTTAGCGTTCATCTTAAATGAGCATTTTTATTTATGGGTGTTTTGGGAAATGTCGTCAGGCTATAACTGTCGACAGAAACTCCTCCCTTCCCTCTGCCAAGGCAGTGCCCCCTGCCCTCCCTCACCCCTCCCTGCTACAGCATAGTGCCACACACACGCAAATGTGGGTTGTCACCAGATCGCGTCTCTTGCTAGCACTGTGAGAGGGAGAGTGTTTTGGCAATGACACAATCCCAAAGCATATGTTCTATTTACATGGAAGGTGCAATATTAGTCTCATGTGTTTTGGTGGTTGATCCATTCAATACAACTCCAAAACATATGGGACGTAAGGTATAACATCCTCAATATCATCCCTGATTCGTAAATTCTATCTACGGCTGCTATGACAGGATACAATGACAATATGGATTGGATATTCAAATGGCGGGAATGTGAATACCTCGGTAAGTTTTGAAATACATTTGAAATTCTATTGAGTTGGGTTGTTTCAGTGATGGTCAAGACCAAATCAAAACCATTTTCATGTGGCAAATGAACGCTGATTGTATTTCGGAACAAATGTGTTATAAAAACCCGTATCACTTTTTACACATAAGGAGTGCATACGTTTGACCAGACCAATGTTTAGTCTCTAAACGTATTATTATCTTGGATAGTAACAAAACAAACCTATTTAAATTGACAAGAGCCCAAGGCAGACCTGGGGAAATCTAGACTTCATTTAGAGCCTTAGACAGCAGGGAGGGCTAGGCTATAGGCAAAATAATATGGGTCAGGGACCGTGAGACAGGCTAATGTTAGACCCACGATTTTGAGTACAACTTGAGGAGGTATCATATTACACCTCGGCGGAGTGAGACGAGGGAAGTGTGTGGAGGCTGCGACTGTTAATTCACCATGCCTCAACGGCGCGCGCTCTAAGATGACAGATTTTCTCCACAGGCCGCAGAAAAGGTTATTTAGTATAGAAAATATAAACATTTTGTAAGAGGACAAAATGATAACTTCAACTGACTGTCAGAGGGTTTTTTCAATAGGTAAAACTGAAACCGGATGAAACTAGTTTGTGGTCAGTGGTCAAGTTCCCCGTAGGTGCTATGCGCTGATTGGTGCAAATTAATGGCATGATGTCATGGTGTGATGCTATGATGTGTTTCCCACGGGGGCGCACGGTCATTGACCCCTCTGTCAGGGTGAGTCACACCGGAGTGAATTGGCTGTATGCTGATTGGTCCAAAATAATGGCGTGATGTCATGTTGTGATGCTATGATGTGTTTCCCACGGTCATTGACACCCCTGTGAAATGAGGTCAGCCAGGTGTTCGATGATGACGTCATTTTTCGTCTATACCCCCCTGTCTACAACACTAATGCAATATAGTAGGTACATGTCCGGTGGTTCGGTCAATGCATTCTATTTATTAGGATTATTTGGCAAGGGCTAGGGTTAGGTTAGGCTGAGGGTTTAGGTTTAGGTTAGGTAAGGGGACCCAATCCAATATAGCAGGTACATGTCCGGTGTAATACGTGAGTCTACCCATTTGTTGTTTTTCTTTTTTGCATTTTAACACTTTTTTTCACACAAAACGGGAAACCAAAAACGTCGAAAGCAATACTGCGAAATGGGTTACTGTAGAAAATTTTGGGCTAATGGAAATTGGCCTGGAATTTGCACTCAAGCCTCTTCACACTCCAACATAAATTCTAAAAGTAACACTGCCAAGGCTAACTCACCTCGCTGTCACTACACATGCCTGCTGCTCCCCTCGTTCCTTATTGGTGTATCCATATTATCCTTACAGTGCTACCTACATCAATTTCTTCTGTCACAAAAATCACAGACTTGCATAAAAGCGCGTCATTCATGCATACACCGTGAAATCTACGTCTGACGCCTGACGTCAACAACCCTTTCCGTTTGAGACATATCGGCTCATTCCACGCCACACGTTAATTTGTAGATTACGGAATGGGACGAGTGTGCCAAAAATGGCATCGGATCCATTCGGCAACTGTCCGTAGAATAAAATCGCATGACACCAAGTCTACCCGTAGCATTCGTAATTGTCCGTGACCTATTCGACTCTTTCCGTTCATTTCCGTGAATTTAGGTCACCGACACCGTCGTTTGTTTTCTGCCTTAAATTAATCGTAATTATCCTTAGAAAGTATTCAATTTGGCATCTTAGAAAAGAAATACAGTTTGCCGTACCACCATGAATAGTGTAATAAAGCACACTTTCGCCCTTAACTATTATAACGTTAAAGCACTCGGACGCAAGCGTCCTCGTACTTTAACTATAATAGTTCAGGTCGAAAGTGTGTTTTATTACACTATACATGGTGGTAGAGCAAACTGTATTTCTTAATTATTATCCATACAGTGAAACATAACATGTGTCATAAATATCATATGTGCACATATTTGTTTTGCCTAGCAACCATTGTTTCTGTGACGTCATTAAACAACTGAACGTGATGTCAATGAAGTGGGCAGTCACACTTGCTTACCGTGTTTTACTGCACAAATGCACATGAATAAAATGGATAATATAGAAATTATTACACTTGCAAGCGTGCCACAAGACTTACCGGTATACGAAACTCGTGCAAAATTTTGTATACAAAATTTCACACTCGTTTCGTATAAGTCGTATGACACACTTGCTCGTGTAATAATCTTTATTTATTACCTACGAGGGCGAACATATCGGGGTTCACATTTTTTATACGATTCCTACTAGGGCAAAATATCACTTTGTCATGGTAGATTTGTTTGAAAGTAGATTTGGGTTTATTTTCCTCAATTTGACGACTTCGGTAATAAATAGAATATTATATTCGTGCCCATATCATACTATGTTTACTACACTCGTGCCTAACTATCAGTATATCCCTCGCTCTAACTCGGGAAATACCAACACTTAGGCACTCGTGTGGTAAACATAGTATGACAAGGGCGCTCATATAATATCCTCTATATATTTTCCGATAACAAGATTCTAAAGCACTTTTCGACCATTAATGATGAGTTATTTATTCTCTTATCAACGTGTCATATGTTTTGATTGCATGAAATAGGTACCCAGACACCTTAGCGTCAAATGAAAAGGAGATGTAAAAAATCGTCATCATCCTACCATGAGGTGAGGTGAAATTGGGTTTTACGTCGTGATTGAGAATATTTCGCTCATATGACGATGTGCATGCGTGTGTATGTGTATGTGCGGCTGCTTGTACTAGCCCAGACTTAAGTTGGTTTTATAGTGCTAGCCCACTGAGATACCATGCCGCAGTGAAGCATGAATACCTCACTCAGACACAGTATACTGACTCCGAGCCGACCAGTCCTTGTTGTACCAATTAATGCCGAGCGCCAGGCAGGGACCAACAAGTACCATATTTTAACGTCTTTGGGTATGACGCGGTCGGGGATGGAACCCGCGACCTTCCGCTCTACGGGCGGACGCTCTAACCACTACACCACGGAGGTGGTCAATCCTACAATGAATAGCAATTTCACGGGTGTGTGTGTGGGGATGGGTTGGGGTCCTTCAGTTCATTTGCACCTGTTTACACTTCCAGGACAAAAGTGTGTGTGTGTGGAGGGGGTGGGGTGGTGCGCACCCCTGCAGCCCCTCTGGATCCGCCTATGGATACTGACAAAAGTAGAAGCAGGATCGTAGATTGTTGGTGTGCTCAAGGGACGCAACTCTGCACATCTTTATTGTACGAGGACAACCACCACCACACCCCAGTCCCTGGATGGCTTCAGCACAACAGTCACGTGACATCCTTTAAATGAGGTTAACTGGAGCAAGCCATGCAGATAGATAGTAAGACGTAGGTTGATGTACAGCATTGGGGGCTGAAACCACGGCGAACTGTAAGTTTACAAAACAGTTTACATGGATGCAACTGTGTACGTAGCGTGTTGTTTGTTGTCGTCTTATATATAGGTTAGTTTTGTACCACGATGAATACTGCCAGTAGTACACGCACAACACAAATTGTCCAGACAGTGAATGGCCAGAGTCGGTATACAGTTAGAATAACGCTTAGTCTCTGAATATATCTAATTTTGATAGTGACAAATAAACCCATTTAAATTGAAAAGGAGCCCCACGGAGACCAGAAATTCTGAACCTGATGAAATCTAGATTGCTTCACTTAAGGTTTTAGCATTGCAGGGAGGCCCAGGCTGTAGGGAAAATAATGTGGTTCAGGGGCTGCGAGACAGACTAGAATACAGTATGTCTTATACACAATACCTAAAGTTCGCCTCCGTTGTATTTACAGTTCAAGCTTCTAAGGTAATAATTAATAGTTTAAATGACAATTTCTAAAACATAAAAATTAAATGAACATATTGTCGCTCTAACAGACTTGTACTGTCCGCTTATCTAGACTTGAGTCTTCAAAGACTAAATTACAGTACAGCCTTGGAGGAATATGCTACGCTGAGGTTAGACTAACGCTTAGTCCTTTATATATATTTTTTTGATAGTAATAAATAAACCCATTTGAAGTAGCCCCGGTGAGTGGGAACATGGGGAAATCTAGACTTGCTTCATTTTTGCATTGCAGGTAGGGCTAGGTAGTGGGGTAGATAATGTAGTCCAGGGAGACTAAGCTGAGGTGTACGGTGGGGATGTTAAAGGGCGCTCACGGTATTAAATGAAAATACCCACCAATCTGGCTTCACCCGTCAGTAAGAGCAGAGTTCAAGGCATTTCTGATTTTGTTTAAAAAACAAATATAAAAAACCTATTCTATATTTAGTAAAAGGTAAACTTTAATGACTCAAAATATAAGTTTGTGCATGCAACATTTGATTTACGACACTCTGTAGACTATTATCTAATCCCTGAAATAAACATAGTTTACAGAACAATTACTGTAATAAAATGTATTAAAACATATAACAAAAAGTAGAGTAGCCCAGTAACTTCCATATTCCCGAAACTGTTGTAATCTAGGCGGCGGTGGGGTAGCCTAATGGTTAAAGCGTTGGCTCGTCACGCCGAAGACCCGGGGTTCGAATCCCCACATGGGCACAATGTGTGAAGCCCATTTCTGGTGTCCCCCGCCGTGATGTTGCTGGAATATTGCTAAAAGCGGCGTAAAACCAAACTCAGTCAGTCAGTCAGTTGTAATCTAGACTTGCCACACATTACAGACTTCAGGGCTGTACAGGGTATGTTTTTTCAGGGTCCATAAAGCAAAAGTTTCTTTCGCATAACACTACTTGGTTCAGTCCATTGCTATATATAGGGGGTATGGATAACTACAGGGGTCCAGAGGAACATAAGCTGCGTTTCTGCGTAAATTAGGCAAATATTTATGTGAAAACTCAGTTCTATTGCGTACAAGTACGCTTGAATTTTTGTAAATACTCAATAAATTGAACTTACATGCGTACACACAAAAATAGATAAAATAACTGAGGTATATTGGGAGGTTTTATTGGTTTTATTAACTTGGCAACTTGAAGTCTTTCTTGTCGTTTCTCATATTACAGATCAAATATAAACAACAAACACGTAAACCAACATTTAAACTATGTTATATTTTTACAATTAATGGAAATGGCAAAATACCCAATTGAGTTTGAGTGAGGTGGGTACAATTTATTTTATTACTCAAAGGAGAATTAGGATACCCTATTGAGATGAACACAAGCGAGTACATAACTCAATGACCCTGTAGCTCTGTGAGTCCCTCTGACCAGAGGAGGCCATGCATGGGATACATATGACGGACTAATATACCTCTCAGTTTCCTGTATTAAGTAATTCTACAAAGTATCACCATCACCGAGATGTCTTACTATGTATTAGTGTTGGGAATTGGTTGAAATCTTACAATTGATGATTGGTTCAATGCCAACGACCAATCATCGAAAACATTTGGTTAGCGCCCTTTTTTATATTTTCCTATTCCGGTTGTAGTTGCAGATAAGTATAAAGAAAAAACATTTGGTTCTCTGTTGTTGTTTTTTGTTTTATTAAGAAACTGCACAAATTACATTTGCAGATTTCACATCCAGTGTAAAATGATTCAGTTCCAGTGTAACATTAACTTCCCAGATTCTTCAAGAAATATTCAGTCATGACTTTTCAGAAAGTGAAGTGAGTTTTCTAAGAATTAAACACGTTTTCGGGCCCTGACAACGTCCTAGATATGTTCCATCATCAAGTATTTCAGGCCCTGACAACGCCCTAGATATGTTCCATCATCAAGTATTTCAGGCCCTGACAACGTCCTAGATATGTTCCATCATCAAGTATTTCAGGCCCTGACAACGTCCTAGATATGTTCCATCACCAAGTATTTCAGGCCCTGACAACGTCCTAGATATGTTCCATCACCAAGTATTTCCGGCCCTGACAACGTCCTAGATATGTTCCATCATCAAGTATTTCAGGCCCTGACAACGTCCTAGATATGTTCCATCATCAAGTATTTCAGGCCCTGACAACGTCCTAGATATGTTCCATCATCAAGTATTTCAGGCCCTGACAACGTCCTAGATATGTTCCATCATCAAGTATTTCAGGCCCTGACAATCGTCCCTAGATATGTTCCATCATCAAGTATTTCAGGCCCTGACAACGTCCTAGATATGTTCCATCATCAAGTATTTCAGGCCCTGACAACGTCCTAGATATGTTCCATCATCAAGTATTTCAGGCCCTGACAACGTCCTAGATATGTTCCATCATCAAGTATTTCAGGCCCTGACAACGTCCTAGATATGTTCCATCACCAAGTATTTCCGGCCCTGACAACGTCCTAGATATGTTCCATCATCAAGTATTTCCGGCCCTGACAACGTCCTAGATATGTCCTAGATATGTTCCATCATCAAGTATTTCAGGCCCTGACAACGTCCTAGATATGTTCCATCATCAAGTATTTCAGGCCCTGACAACGTCCTAGATATGTTCCATCACCAAGTATTTCCGGCCCTGACAACGTCCTAGATATGTTCCATCACCAAGTATTTCCGGCCCTGACAACGTCCTAGATATGTTCCATCATCAAGTATTTCAAACTCTATTACAGCAGTTCCAAAATCGTTTGTGTTCGATTATGAGAAAATGTGATCGATTGCTTGGTCGTTTGGCCACTGCGACCAATCTTCGATTATTTCAATTAATCGGAACACCACTACTATGTATAAGTAACAAACCATACCAGAGTGAATTGAAAATGTGTCATTCGTGTGGACAGCTGCAGAGGCTGCAAAAGGATGGGGTAAGAAACTTGAATTCGCGAATGTGTTTGTCGGCTATTGTTCAGCCTATTGTTTGTGTAAATCGGAAACAATGCTCTCTGAAGGATCAAGTATGGCATGCAGCAAAGGAAAACTCGACGATTCGCATATTTCCCGTCTCGTGATAACGCAGGCCGACAATGCATAGATAAGGAAGCGAGCAAATAGGAAAGGAAGCTAAGCCGTGGGGGATATAGACTTGCACAAGTCTCTAAGGTACAAATATAATAGCTTAAATGATAATTTCTATAAAATAATAAATAACAGACACTGTCCGCTTATATAGTATTTTATAGTTTTGGACTTGCATTTAGGAGTGGAACACATAAATGGGAAAATGAGACATTATATGAACCAAGTCAGCAAGCAACGGCACCCTTAATTTGGAATGGAGACCTTTACACTATAAGTTGTATGCTTCTCTCGAGAGTAATACGGTCTGATGTACGCCTCTTATTGTAGCAGTGTCACCCGAGCCGGTGAAATTAAAGTATTTTAGGCCGTATTTTACACGAAGGTAAGATAAAGTGTCTTAAAAATTTAAGGTGGGACTGTTACCTGATGAGTCAACAAATCTAATGACAATAAATTTGACATTTAAAACTCCACCTCCGCGTCCGGTCCCAAATTCAAAACTACAGGTAATACAAATCTATTCACAAGCCACTGTATGTTTCTCTCTAGACGACAACAGAGACAACGGGGATGTAATTTGAAACATCAGTTGACTACCCTGAAACAGACTCCTTCAGGTGTTAAGGAAATAATAGGTGTTGAAATTTTATGAGTGGACCACTGAAATCAGTGATGACACTATGTGTTCGCGAAAAGTGACGGAGTGAGTTTAGTTTAACGTCGTACTCAGCATGCAATATTCCAGCTATTTTGCTTCGGTCTGTAAATAATCAAGTCTGGACCAGACAATCCAGTGATCAACAGCTTTAGCATCGATCTACGCAATTGCCAAACGATGGCATGTGTCAACCAAGTCAGCGAGCCTGACCACCCGATCCCGTTAGTCGCCTCTTACGACAAGCATGGGTTACTGAAGATTAATTCTAACCCGGATCTTCACGGGCGGGTTCCCGGAAAGGGTAAGCATGTCCCGTTTTGCAGGTAACACAATTTGCTTTAAAAAGTAAGTATTTATAGCCCGACGCCACAAAGCAGTAGACCTGGCATCATGTGACAGCGGCCTCTGAACTATCAAATATCGATGGCCCAGAAAATCCAGTTTGACGAGTCATTCACAGGTATGGTCATTTCCTGCAGGAATATTGTATGTCTATCAGGGCCGCTTCCCCCATCCCCCATGTTGCTGAGAATGCAAATTGACTGCTGCTGCTACTACTACTACTACTACTACTACTACTACTACTACTACTACTACACAAAATTTACCAAAGCTTGTAAGAGGTCACTAACGGAATCGTAGTGGGGTAGGTGTGTGTGAACGTGTGCGTGTGTGGGGGGTCGGGGGGAAGAGACGGGGCTGTGTGAAGCTGGCCGACTCGGTTGATACCCTTGTCTCAGTTTGGTAGATCAATATCGATGCTCATGACGTCAATCATAGGATTGTCTGGCCCAGAGTCGAATATAATACAGATGAGAATCAGAAATCGGGATGTTGGTGACTGTGGCGTTAAAAATAACAGCGTTTATTTATTTTCTGTGTCGGCAATATTCCAGCTTTGTGAACGCGGTCTGTAAATATTCAGGTCTTGATCAGACAATCCGGTGGCTGATATTATGAGTAATACTGTACACTCGCCCCTTTCCATAACCTGCAAGAAGGAACGCCCCTCTTTCACGAGGACCTGAATTAAATGAATGCTATGATCATAATGGTAACACTGTGGATATCCTGTTTCATCCGGCGTTTACACAACACTGCCTACTTATTTACAGAACGGGCGGTGGAGTAGCCCAGTGGTTAAAGCGTTCGCTCGTCACGACGAAGACCGGGTTCGATTCCCCACATGGGTACAATGTGTGAAGCCCATTTCTGGTGTCCCCTGCCGTGATATTGCTGGAATATTGCTAAAAGCATCGTAAGACTCACTCACTATTTCCAGGACAAGATGGAAACACATCCGAAAGAGCCTAGTGATGATGCTGTTTCCGGGACTTCTGCTGGCGACGTACAACCCAATGTGAATGAAGGGACGCAGCACATGGCTTCGCCAACAGGTGATTACATCTGAAAATACGGAAAATTATCATTGTTCTTGGTACACTGAAATGGCACAGAATCTCAGAATTGCTGTGCTTGAAGTTTACCGTGAATACTCATAGTATTGTTTTGGATCCCCACGATGTCTAGGTTGTAAACAAACACATATGTTTTTTGTTAACAGCCAGTTTCCTTCCTTCCTGCCATTGCCTTCTGAGAGTCATTGGCAACGGTTGCTATGTAAAAACAGCGAGAATATCGGGTGATCTCGTGAAGCGGAAAGTTGACTATTAATAGACACTCTAACCCGCCTTATCCGTTAGAAAGCAAAATATGCATCTTTATTTTTTTTACGAAGATTTCAAAGCGTGTCACTTGACATTTGCTCAAAATTTGTTTTGCTCAGGGCTACAGTATTCAGTGTTTTTGTACATGCTTTCCATAAATTTCATGATAGACACTCGGAAGAGTGAGTGAGTTTAGTTTTACGCCGCACTCAGCAATATTCCAGCTATATGACTGTGGTCTGTAAATAATCGAGTCTGGACCAGACAATCCAGTGATCAACAGCATGAGCATCGATCTACGCAACTGGGATACGATGGCATGTGTCAACCAAGTCAGCGAACTTGACAATCCGATCTGAGGCTATTCCCTACTTTGACTCCTGCCATGCCTTCCTGTGGTGGAAGTTCGGCTTAACAGTTTACTAGCTTGTTAATGAGTCTGTCATGGGCGCCATAGACATATGCTTCTGAACCAAAGAATTGACTGCTCTAAGCAAATATGTTTTATTATTATTTACATTTTATTTTGGTGCTTTATGTCACACATTCTACCCATTTTGGGAATCAAACCCAGCACCTACGGATAACGTCTAAATGATACATCACAAACTCACTCACTCAATGGTGTACCTTTCTGTTGCAGCTCATCTGGCATGCTACAACTTCTCAAACTCCCGTAACGTCTCGCTGTCGTTCGGGGACGTCACATGTAAAGGGTGTCTCTCGCAAGGCAAGACAATTTTTCACCAAGTAGGAGGTTGGATTGATTCGTTTTGCACCTCACCAAAAACGAACTGCGTAATAATGAAATACATGCTGTCTGTGATGTCATAGAGGTGCATGTATATGCACAAAAAGTAGAGTCAGTTGGGCAAATGTCCCCGTTGTGATAAGTCAGTAGAGTAAACAAGGGTCAGTGACCTTTGGCAATGGTCATATTTGAGTCTTGGCATAAAAAGGGCCGAACATACAACCCCATCCCCACCCTCCCTACACACACGCACGCACACGCACGCACACACACACACACACACACACACCACCCAGATATCAGTACAACGCTAAAACAGGAGGCCCCATCTTACCGTAAAGAGGTGGGCAGCAGAGTGAAGCAGATGCAGCCTTGACGACCAACCCAATCCTGCAAGGACTGTGAATGAGTGAGTTACGTTTACTCCGTTTTTTAGCAATATTCCAGCAATATCACGCCGGGAGAACACCATAAATGGGCTTAACACATTGTACCCACGTGGGGAATCGAACCCGGGTCTACGGCTTGATGAGCGAACGATTTAACCACTAGGCTACTCCACCGCCCCGCAAGGACTGTTACGTTTGATAATACCCGGCATGGTGATGACCCACCGGCAGATGGCTTTATTTTGCTAGATTCTTGGCTTTTCTCAAATATATCACCCCAAGTATCAGCTCGTTGGGTTCCAAATCTTCTGACATCTGATCAAATCAAACCAGAGTCTCGTGATAATCTAGCTTTATTTTAAGTTGATTCAGAAAGTTTCTTGAAAGCATTTGTGACTATAGGGCCCGTAAGTAGGCCACGGCACTTTGCGAGACCTTACGTTGTTTAGTACTCCCTGTGACAAACAGTGTTTCATACTTTTTCGAATGGTCTCATTGTTGTCAGTTGACAGTAAGGAACCGATAATTATTGCAGGAATAACAGATTTCTGATCTAACCATCCCCAAATTAGCCAACTATTACGACTTTCAAGATCTGTGACAGCCAAGCATAATTGTACACTTGGTCTGGTCTAGTAAAGTCATATTTGGCGGTCACGCTGGCTTGTCACCGGAAATCTGGTTCCGAAAGTAAGCTGGGCCACGACTCCTATATCGCAAGTTGGCCCTCGCAAAGGGAGCCGGGAACAAGCTTTGTACCGGAAGTAACGTCTCGCGAGAGTTTCAGGAGTAACATAGGTTCAGCAGGTCCCAACAACTTTAACACGAATGGATGGATTTGACATTTCCGCGACTGTCCCATCAGCTGGGAAGGATGTGTCATCGTTGTCGTGGGATACCCAGAATGGCCTTATGGTTGACTATCTTCCACAAGGCTAAACAGTTATAGGCGGAGTATATTATGCTGCACCTTTGCGACACGGGAAACTGAGAAATGGCGTGCTTCCTTTAGGACAATGCTCCAGTCCATAAATTAGGTGTCCTGTAACAATCCACGAACGTTCCTGATCTGATCCCAGATTTTCGAAGCTCTCTGATCTAGAGCTAAGATAGTCATAAGTTAATGTTAATGTATGGCACTTACGACTATCTTAGCGCTAAGAGAGCTTCGAAAATCTAGGCCCTGGTTCATACAGTTCCGTCTGGTTCCTTCAGACTTCTTCTGTTTTTAATATGAAGAAAGCTTGAGCATGAACCCATTTCGATTTGAACGATGACATCACAGAATCTGTCAAGAACATTTTGGACAGCCAGTGGATGTACTTCTACAAAACATCCATCTAACATTGTGTATCAATGAATACCTTTAATGTCTTCAGGTGAAGTCTTTCCAAATGAAGAAGGCGGTGGGGTAGCCTGCTGGTTACAGCGTCCGCTCGTCACGCTGAAGACCCGGGTTCGATTCCCCACATGGGTACAATGTGTGAAGCCATTTCTTGTGTCCCCGCCGTGATATTGCTGGAATATTGCTAAAAGCGGCGTAAAACCCAATTCACTCACTCTTTCCAAATGAGGCTCAGATCTTATCAACCACCTCTCGTATGTACCATAAATTATGTAATGATTACGAATGCATATTGCGATCTTATTTCTTTACAATGTACCGTGCAGTTCATATAACGATGTTAGATTAAAAGCCTTCTTGGCATTGTGGTGAAGGTGAAAATAATTGAAAGTGAAATATTCACATTCAGTAAACATTAATCAATAGCTAAAGAACTCGTTTCAGTTGACATTGACCAACCACTTGATTTTTGAATAGGGTTTGGGTTTGGCTTGGTGTTCTGGTGTTTTATGAAACCAAATTATATTCCTTCAATGACCTCAAATGGTTGGTGCCTAATAAATGGTATTTTAGTATATTTTTTATATTTGTAGAGAGTGTCCGGAATCGTGTTCAGGCACTGGAGGAGGTATTCGTTGGCGTCCATACACTCGGGACAACAAGGCATCTGCTTGACAAGCATGGTCATGTCAGCATATGCGGAGCCCCTGGAGACGGGAAGACAAGCATTGCATTGATGTTGTGTGAGGAATATCGTAATCAAAACTATGAAACATTGTTTGTAGAAAACATTGAACATTTTGAAGTTGATACAATCACTGAACGACGATCTAACATGATGATCGTGTTTGATGACATATTCGGCTGTGTCACATTTCCAGTAAACCTCGAGAAAATTAACAGAGTTTTGAGGGTCCTCGCTGACAGTTTGACTGCACCAGACGGAAAACACGACGAGAAGAGGAGGAGGAAGAAAAAAGACCCAGAGGAAGGCCCAGAATCTGAGGATACGAGTTCTAGCCATGCATTCAAACTTCGTTTCATTTTCACATCGAGAACCTACAACTGGAATGAGGGGTGTTCAAAGTTCCACCAATACAAGATAAATCTCTTCAGCACAGAGACCATTATAGACTTGACTAAAGACTTTCTGACCCCCGATGAAAAGAGATTACTCCTATCGTCATTTAAGAAGAAAGCTCAAAATTGTGATATGTCTGATGAGAACATCAAAGCAATCATTCATTCACAAAATAGTCAGTTTGGGTTTCCTCTTATCTGTAGCCTGTTCTTCCCCAACCCTGTGTTTCAGATGCACAGCGTGGACTTCTTCCAGAACCCTGTTACCTGCTTGAGAGGTGACCTTGACGCCATCATCCGAGAAGGCAGCAACAGATCAGCAGCCCTCATACTCCTCATCCTGTGTGAAAGGAATCTCAACCTTGTCACACTTCAGACAGGAACAGGAGGAAAAGGTACAGACCTGTTCCACGTTGTGAAAGAGACAGTACCATCCTGTACACGAACCAACGTTTGCAAAGAGATTGTAAACTTTGCTGGAACATATTGTATAGTTGAGGACCACATCGCTTCCTTCTCTCACCCGTCGGTATATGATGCTGCAGCATGTGCGCTAAGTCACCTGAATCTTGTGCTGTTGCTGCAGTACTGCTCTCTGAAGTTCTTGAATGAGCGTGTGAGACTGAAGAAGACGCTTCAGACATCAACTACTGATGATGTCACTAACATGATTTACATCAGCCCTGCTCTATACCAAAGTGTCGTAGATAGAATTGCTGAAGGTATCCGACAGAAATGTTTCAAATGGACAGTCACACATCCTGCACTCAGTAACGACACCATTGCCTCGTCCCTTGTGGCCCAATTGGGTGGTGAGTTGACAAGGATAGTGCAACAGACAGACAAAACCTTTGGGAAGTGTTTTCTGTATTGGACGTCACTGACATATAATAATGCACTGTTTAACAGCACTTTGGAAATCATGTGTAGAAAGAAAATGATCTACTTAAATCGAATAAGGAATTTGTTTAGGAAAGACTCGATAAAACGCGAACAAGATCTGTTTTACTGTGCAATAACGTGCATAGAATGTGGAGATCTGTACAAACTGCAACAAATTACATCTTTACTGAAGCGGGATAGGAAATTTGAGGTCAACTTTAAATCACCCAAGAGCAAAACACTTCTCTTAATTGCTGCTGAGTCAGGACATGTTGATGTTTTCAATTTCCTGCTTCAAGAACAGGCAGACATTTTGCTAACTGATCGTGATGGCATGACTTGTCTTCATTACGCCTGTAAATCAGGGAAGCAAGGATATAACCGAAGTTATCCTGAAAGTGTCTCCTGGTATGACCAATGTCACTGATTGGATGGGAAACACAGCAGCAGGAATAAGTGCAGAGTCTGGTTATGATGGAATCTTGAGACTGCTGCTATCGAGAGGAGCAGACGTGACTCTCAGTAACAGAAATGGTTGGAACAGTCTCCTCCTGGCTAGTCGTCAGGGTCATGTGTCGACTGTGAAATATCTGTTATCACTGGACGTTTGTGATATCAATAGGAGAGGCGGATTGTATAAGCAAACACCAGTTATGGTTGCTGCTAAAAGTGGACATTTTGATGTATATGATCTTTTAGTCCGTAAAGGAGTTGATCTCTCGCTCGTTGATGATGACAAAGTAGACAGCCTGATGTTGGCTTGTGAGGGTGGAAATCCAGCTATTGTGAAACACCTCCTATCGCTAAAACAATTTGACGTCAACAAAAGAGGAGTTCATAGCATGACAGCAATCATGATTGCAACCGAAAAAGGAAATTACGATGTTTTTAAACTTCTTTTGTCAGAAGGAGCTGATCTGTCCCTTCTCCTCAGATTCAACCTAAACTGTCTGATGTTGGCATGCAAGGGAGGTAATGTACAAATAGTGAAACACTTGCTTTCTATGAAAACCTTTGCAATCAACAGAAGAGGCGGATGGCATGAAGAAACATCTATTATGATGGCAGCTGAAAGTGGACACTTTGACGTCTATGCACTCCTTGTATCCGAAGGCGCTGAAGTCTCACCAGATATTGGTGACAGAGGAGACTGTCTGATGCTGGCATGTTATGGGGGGAATGTGTCCATAGTGAAACATATCCTGTCACTGAAAACATTCAACGTCAATAGAAGATCAGGGTTGAGTAATGAGACGCCACTTATGGCTGCAATCATGGAAGGCCATTTCAGTATTTATACCCATCTTGTGTCAGAGGGAGCTGATCTGACAGTTATGAATGACTACAGGACAAATATGTTGATGCTGGCATGCGTGGGGGGTAACCTGTCTATCGTCAAGCATCTTCTTGCCATGAAAATCTTTGACATCAACAGCAAAGGAGGGCCAGATAACATGAGTGCGGTTCTGTTTGCAGCAGAAAATGGACACTCTGATGTTTTCGATGTCCTTGTATCAGAGGGCGCTGATCTCTCAGGTACTCAACGATACAACAAAAACTGTTTAATGGTGGCATGCACCAGTGGTAATGTGAATATAGTTAAACATCTTCTATCAACCAAGTTGTTTGATATAAACGAAAGAGGCGGATGGAACACCGCGACGCCAGTGATGATGGCTGCTAGACGAGGACACTACGATGTTTATCATCTCCTTGTGACACAAGGTGCTGACCTTTCCCTAACGGACGTCGACAGCCAGGACATTCTCATGGTGGCGTGTAAAGGTGGTAATCTGTCTATCATCAAACATCTCTTTTCTCTGAAAGATATAGACGTAAACAGACGGGGAGGACACAAACGCCAAACTCCCATTATGTTGGCTGCTGAAAATGGAAATGTTTCTGTTTTTGATCTTCTGGTGTCTGAAGGTGCTGATCTCACACTTTCTGATGTGGACGACAGAAACTGTTTGATGCTGGCGTGCTACGGTGGAAACCTGTCCATTGTGAAACATCTCCTCTCTTTGAAAACATTCGACTTCAACAGAAGAGGAGGGAAGTACAACCAAACACCACTTATGGTGGCAAGTGAACGGCAACATCATCGTGTTTATGCTCTTCTTGTGTCAGAGGGAGCAGATCTGTCATGTTTATCTGGGAATCCTGACCGTCACTGAAAGTAGGAATGTGGTCATCTTTAAACAATCTTGATTTTATGAATGGTTGACCAGACGTTGCTCTAACATACACCATAAAACCATTTCACTGATGTTAAAGCACCATATTAAACATCACTGACACTAGGTGTGTACGTATAGCTTTGAATCACTTCTCATGCTCATTGGTTCAGTCATAACACGAGGTGGGACACAAGAGTGCCGATCACACATTGTACCAATGTCGAGAACCAGACCTGCACATGGGCATTCGACGTTAGGGACGAATACTGCAACCACTTGCTGTACTGAATGCTACCTCACTAATGTTATGTGTGGTTAACTGAACGTTGAACTAAGCGACACCACAAATTTGAAAACTAATTTGAAAATAATTTGTAAAGTTGAATGGTTTTTTGCATGTGCTTTTTGAAATTTTGTTAAAATTCAGTGAAATACGGACGTCTCCGAAAGAGATTGTAAATTGTCACACAAATCCGGTGATTCACCATGACAACCCATGCTGGGGAATTTCATAGTTACCCAGTGGAATGACTGGTGCTCAGATCTTATGTCGTGTGATGTTTATTCACATGCGTCTCATAGAAATCCTGGATTACCGTTCTAATTGACAGTTTTCTCTGAGGATCTCCATAGATTTGGGGGACTTTTGGAAAAAGATAATCTGCAGCAAAAATATTTATCAGGTTTGAAAAGTAAAAATACGTCTATCACTGAAGATCAGGGTGTTACAGAAGTAATCAGGCGAATGTTTGGTAACTTATCCATTCAAACTGAGGACACCTGGACAAAAATGTTTTGCAGCGCTGACCGAACAAAATGGTCAGCTCCCCCTCCCCGAAGTATGTCTGGCACCTGAATTCGTCTCAACTTAGTGATTTAAAAGCTTTCTCTGTCAATTTTAGTCTTTGTCCACTAAATGTCGATTAACACTGAGAACCACGAAGAATGTCAATGACAACAGTAAGCATGCGATGTATGTTCATAGTTGAGACGAACGCTGCTTTGAACATTAATAGTATTGCGGTATGGTGTGGCCGCTAAGTCATAGACATATGCCCTGTTGGTGAAACCCACGAGCACAACTTAGAAACCAAACAGGACGAACAAGGATTCGACACATCATGGGTTTCTGGCGTGTCCGGGGAACACAGTTCTGCAAACCAAACGTCGGCGCCTCTGAGGACTGTGGACCCGTGAAGATCCGGGGTAGAATAGGTCTTCAGCAACCCATGTGCTTGCCATAAAAAGGCGACTATCTTGTCGTAAGAGGCGACTAACGGGATCGGGTGCACCATGGTCAGTTTCGCTGACTTGGTTGACACATGTCATCGGTTCCCAATTGCGCAGATCGATGCTCATGCTGTTGATCACTGGATTGTCTGGTCCAGACTCGAATATTTACAGACCGCCGCCATATAGCTGGAATATTGCTGAGTGCGGCGTAACACTAAACTCACTCACTCACTCTCTCTGAGGACTGTGCCACAGCATCCACACGTGGCCCCGATTTAATTCAGATGTTATAAGAATGATTAGAACTATTCTTTCTAAAATGTTGTTTAGACTTCAAACTTATTTTTTCCTTTATATACTTGACCGCAAAAGAACATGTTAGCATGTTTTTCAATCCAAATTGACAGTTATTACCAGCATCAGTGTTTTCTGATGAAAAAGCATATCGTAGTAAAAGGTTCCGTATGACATTCGTGAAAATGTAAATGCACGCGCAAGTCATGACAACCCTACCAATAAAAGCGAGCCCCTAACTCGCCTGAAATAATTTTTGTTTGACACAATCGCCATGCCACGACTTACGAGAGATCCGAGAAACCAAGCCTTGAGACAATTGCAAGTTGACCGGGCTGCACGGAGGGTAGGTAGCCAATTTTAATGTTCAAGTTGGGACAATCTACCGACTGCTGGAGCGGTATCTGGCCACTAACAGCATCCAAGACCGTCCACGCAGTGGGCGACCTTCAGTAACATCACGTCAAAACCGACAGATTGTGCGCAACCATCTGCAGGATCGCTTCGCCAGAGCACCGGACTGACTGAGTTTGGTTTTAGGCCGCTTTTAGCAATATTCCAGCAACATCACGGCGGGGGACACCAGAAATGGGCTTCACACATTGTGCCGATGTGGGGATTCGAATCCGGGTCTTCGGCGTGACGAGCCAACGCTTTAACCATTAGGCAACCCCACCTCCCCCAGAGCAACGGAAACAGCGCGCCATACCATTGGGAGTCACAACAGACCCACTAGTGCCGATACAGTGCGTCTACGTTTGCGTGGAGGAAACTCTGCTGTCGTGGTCCTGTCCTCACCGCTCGTCACCACCAAAACCGATTGCAATGGGCAACTCAGCATCGAAATTTTCGTTATCGACAACGGAGAACTGTGCTTTTTTCTGATGAAAGCCGATATTGTGTTTCGACAGCCGATGGCAGAGTGAGAGTGTGGCAAAGGCGTGGGGAACGGTTTTCCAGCTTGACAGCTGTTCCCTATATTGACCAAATCATAAGACACCCACGTTGTACCACATTTTGGACGTTACAGAAATCACATCTTCCAGCAAGACAACGCTCGTGCCCACACTGCCAGAGCAACATTGGACTTCCCAATACAACATGACATCCAAACCCTACAATGGTCTGCACTCAGTCTGGACTTAAGTCCAATAGAACACATTTGGCGCGAGATTCAAAGAAGACTGAATGACCTCCAACCAAGGCCGACAACTGCGGCTGGACTCGATCAGGCATTTCGAAGAGAATGGACCCAAGTGCCTATGGTCTTCATCAACCGGCTAATTCATTCGATGTAGAGACGATGCAACGCCGTCATCGAACCCTTGTCTTCGGCGTGACGAGCGAACGCTTTAACCACTAGGCTACCCCCACTGTTTCCCCTTTATTTAAGCAGCATGCTCAGGGAAACAGGCCGGACATCCTCACATATAACATTCATGTCAGCTGAGGACATTTAAGGTTAGATGTGGGAATCTCTAGGCTATGGGCTCCGACTATACTCCCTTCAATGCTGAGTTGTTGTTTTTATGCATTCGAGAATTTCTGCTGTCGTTGGCAAAACTGAAACAACTCAATATGGCAAAGAAGTATATCGATGAACTGATGTCATTCAATACTTATCAAATTGCCACTTTACACTGATTTACCCACCTGAGCTACAAATACGAAGAGACCAGGCACACAGCATCACCTGCTTTATCACTGGTAGGGAACTTTGTCACAGTGAGAGTGGAGTCTTTGTGATTTTTGCGACGGAAACTTTGCGATATGTCACAGAGTCTTTGTGATTTTAGCATCAGCAAGGGAAGTGTAAGGTACGGTAAATGGCCTGTATGCCTACAAAATGAATATTACAAGAGATTTGAATGCACATTTACTTACATTAGGTTTCCATCAGTAAGAAGTAAATATTATGATGTTCAGAAAGCGACTGATAATCATGTAAAACCATTATTTGTGACGAAATTAATACTTTTTGATAAATAATCGGTATATTGTGACAAATGACCCCATAAAAGTGTAAAATCAATACAATGTGTTCCGATTAGTGTTTATCCCCTTTTATCATAAAGCATGTGCTGTTTTATCAGTGACAATAAGCGTACATATCAATTTCCATTCATTGGTCTTATATCACAGAAAGTTTGTGATTACGAAATTGATGTAACGGAAAATTCACTCATTGCTCACAGCATTAGGTCTGCTTCCACAGTGGGGCTTTTTCCCTGAAAGTGCCATTAAAGACAATTCTGAACACAGCTGGCTGGAGCAGTGATTGTGTTTGGCAAATTCTACAACAAACTGGTGTTAGATGGACAATATAGTGAATCCATTCTTAGTTATAGCTCTTAGATAGCAATTGTAGTGAACCTGTAGCTACACTTGAAGATGTTTTTTGTTTGTGTAGTAAAGCAAAGGATGTAAAACCCTTGTTTGAGAGACATTTCACCTGATATCTGAACACATGTATGAGTATGTTGTTCTTTATTGTTTTCATGGTAACAATCCTGTTTCATTTGAAATGATTTTGAAGCAATTTCAATACAGTTGTACTAGTTAAGAAATTTAAGATTGTAACCAGGTGGGTTTTGTTTCTGTTTATGGTTATGGTTGTATCAGAAATAGGATTTTTTTCTCTAAAACTCTCAGGTGATTCCGATAGTACGGAATAGGGAGGTGGAATTTAAAGAGTAAACGAGACTTACTTGTAAGGTGATGTTTGATCTAAATTCCACTGACCTATGAAGTACTGAGGGATTACGTGCCCACCTCACCCAATCCGAGAGGCTTAATTCTGTAAAAAGCCCTATTTCTGCGTTGATAATAATGGTAATCCCTCAGTACTTCAAAGGTCTGTGGAATTTAGATCAAACTTCACCTTACAGGTAAGTCTTGTTTAATCTTTAAATTCTTATATACAAATTGTAAGAGTGCACCGTACTACCAGTATAACACTCATATTGCATAACCCTTTGAAGAACACCAGGTGTCATCAGTTTGAATGGATGTTACCAAACATTGCCTGATTACTTCTGTAACAACCCTTAGAGAACAGAACAAACAGTAGCCATGTTTCTGAATACCAACCTCACTTCACAAACTGTGCAACTGAGTGTAAGATCTTTTTTGGTAACCCCTTGTCAACAGGATTAAATCATAACATCGTCTGAATGTAATGCCTCAGTCTTATATCAGGTGTCCAGTTTAAACCAACGAAAGAGCGGTTCTGACACTATGTTATACTTTGTGAAGTAGTGAGACATTCAGTCACCTGAGGTATATAATGAGGATAAGGATAGTTTTACCGGCAGAAATATACTGAAAATATATTTTCCACTGATAAAAGGTAGTCATGACACTGTATACACTATATACACTGTAATGAAGCAAACCTACACTTTTCATCTAGCTCTGATTTGAGACCCATGTATAAAGTAAAGACTAGCCTCCACAATATGTAAAAACGCTAAAACCAAACAAGTATTGTATGACAAGATAGATCTGTTCATCTGTCCATTAATCAACTTCAGAAGGTGCATTATCTGTGTAGTAGTTGGGGACATCTCGATCAGTTGTAGAATTATTTGGATACTATGCCCACAACACACAAAGATATATCCTGATATTCACTCTCACATTAGTACGAATGTTATCAATTGACCATAAATCCAAGCTCAATCAGGCATCAGCTGAAACCTGTTACATAATAAAGTTCTGGCTGCACATCTGGATTCTTCTTGGAACTTGCACAAGCGCACTTACGTGGTCAAAGAAACTGTGAGTGTGTATGGTTTTACACAGCTTTTATCAATATTCAAGCAATATCATGGTGGGGCACACCAGAAATGTTCTTAACACACTGTACCTGTGGGGAATCGAACCCTGGGCCTTCCGCGTGACAAACCAACACATTAACCACCAGGCTACCCATCCTCGATAATCTCCAGGGTATACGTTATGATCACTCTCCACTAAACCCTGGATGCATCCACGGCTTGGCCTGATGATTTTATTACCTCCCTTTGCTGGCTCCGCATTCTCACAGTAGCCAATCAGCTAATCCGCTGTTACATCTGAGCTTGCCAGTGTCAACAAAGATCGCAGTCGCAAAGGTTTGTTCGCAGTGCCATTCAGATTTTTGAGGAAATAATACAGACAAATTGACAGATCTGAAAGAACTCCTTCTACCTCTTTCAGAGTACCTCTCCATCAATTGTGTTGCCGGGTTTAAAGGGTTAGATAATTTAAGATGCGAAGGTGAGTTGTGATTGGTTCGCTCAACTTGCCAGCGTAGACACCTGATTGGATAACAAGCAAGCCAAGGGAGGTAATAAAATCATCAGGCCAAGCCGTGGATGCATCCAGGGTATAGTGGAGAGTGATCGTGAAGGCGATTGAAGGACTCACCATATATACCATTATCATGGTATAACAGAGTTTGGGTATATCATAACTGCAGTATCAAAGAATCAGGTATAGCACTGTAATAGTATTAAGTGAGTGTTGAGTTTAGTTTTACGCCCCACTCAGTAATATTCCAGCGAGCTTGACCACCCAATCCTGATAGTCGCCTCTTACGACAAGCATGGGTTACTGAAGATCAATATTCTAACTCGGACCTTCACGGGTGCAATAGTATTAAGGAATTATGGTATAAAATGAGCTCAGCATTAAAGAATAATGCTATATATCATAACCATGGTGGGAAGCAATCTTCACTTCTTGTAGGGGTAATGAGAGCAAAACATATGACTTCATAACCTGCAAATTGGACGGTACAGTTGGGGAAGATATAATTAAAATGAGAATGCCACAATACACAAAATGTATTCTAGATATCACAAGACCTTGTATGATTCGATTTGTATTGATAACAGATCATGAACATATTAAATGCTGATGGACTTGGCCCTTCTGTGGATACATCCACTTCAGGAAGTGTCCTGTATGTTAATATCCACGTTGTCGCAATAGGACAGTAGAAAGGGTCAGTTCATTGTTCAAACACGTGACTGTCATGAGATCTCCTGCAAGAAGAATTCTGTTTTGTCCATATCAGTTGTGACGGACTTGACGACACAGTTCAGTGGCCCCACTTCCTTGTTCAATACACTGTCAACATCACAACCCTGAAAGCAGAGAGAAGATAACTGAACTTTTCACTGAAGATTTCTTCTTTTTCTGTAATTAATATTTGATTTATTTAAACTAAAAATGCCAAAAATCTGCAAATAGCAAAAGACACCCCTTTGGTATCTGTTTAGTTTAGTTTTGTTTAAAGATATTGAATGGTTTTCGAGTTCATACTTCCATTTCAACCTACCGGGTAAGTAAGTCTGAATTGTTTCTATAGAAACAGGAAACTATCAGATTCTGAAAAATTCATAAAAATCAAACTGCACCAGTCCCTGGTTAATACATTTACCAGGTTTGGAGGAAAAACTTTCATGGTTTTCAAGTTGTGCTCCAGGAATGAAATCCATTAGCCCCTCCCTTTGAAACCAAGACCAAATTGTTTCCATGGAAATCAAGAAAAATAAATAAAAAGCCCAAATTCCAGAAATAGCAAAAGTCACCACTTCAGGATCTGTTTGATATATCTGTCAAGTTTTGTTGATAGATATTGAGCGTTATTTGAGTTAAGCTCTGGAAACGAAATGATTACAGACGGACAACATATCCATGCATTATGTGTTGGGGGATAAAAGGATAAACAGACAACTTTAAGAACACCAAGAAAAGTTACTAAATTAGATTCAGGAGCTCTTGTTATACATATTAATACTATAACTAAGATTACCATTAGAGGGATGGATATTACTTGCATATGACACTAACATAGACACTCACATTCTGTACTAACTCATAAAAAAAGTTGTATAGTGACAGTGAACCTAAATTTAAGTCAACAAGAATTATACATAGTAGTCTTTGGTTTGGGCCTTCTTGAGAAAACATATCCCTCCAGAGAAAGTATTGTACTGACTGACTGACTTAGTTTGGTTTTATGCCGCTTTTAGCAATATTCCAGCAACATCATGGCGGGGGACACCAGAAATGGGCTTCACGCATTGTACCCATGTGGGGATTCGAACCCGGGTCTTCGGCATGACAAGCCAACGCTTTAACCATTAGGCTACCCCACCAACCCAGAAAGTATTGTACAGTACATGTGGTGGCACAGGTTTCCAGTCCTGTTCCTACCTCATCTGTTTGTTCCTCTGCTGGAAGAAGCTTTTCTATGGTGGTCTGTTGCAGCTGAAATATAGAAACATCCACATCATCACATAGCAAACAAATAGTGAGACTTTTATTGTTTCAATTTATAGATTTGTATGACCAGAGCAAAAAGCCACCATCATGAAATATTATGAAAATACTCATAACTAGAGATCCCCGATCGGGTCACATTACATCTTGAGAAAGGATGTTTCTGAGTTGTTGGGAATCTGTGTACAAGAGGTCGTAACCTGTGCTTATGGTTGAGTGTGAGTATGGTTTTACGCTGCTTTTAGCAATATTTCAGCAATGTCGAGGCAGGGGACATGAGAAATGGTCTTCACACACAAGAGGGGGAATCAAACCCATCTTTAGTGTTACGAGCAAAAGCATTCACAACTGGGCTATCCTAGCGCCCCGGTTATCCTACGAGGAACACATGGTTATGATTTGGTGATTTGGCAGATTCAAAGTTGTCGTAGATGTAGATTCTGAATTCATGCTTTTGATCACTGAATTACCTGGTGGTGGTGGTGGAATTGGGTTTAACGTCGTGATTGAGAATATTTCGCTCATATGACGACGTGCATGCGTGTGTATGTATATGTGTGGCTGCTTGTACTAGCCCAGACTTAAGCTGGTTTTATAGTGCTAGCCCACTGAGATACCATGCCGCAGTGAAGAATGAATACCCCATTTAGACACATTATACTAACTCCGAGCTGACCAGTCCTTGTTGTACCCACTAATGCCGAGCGCCAGGCAGGCACCAACAAGTACCATATTTTAACGTCTTTTGGTATGACGCAGTTGGGGATCGAACCCCGCTACCTTCCGCACTCCAGGCAGACGCTCTAACTACTACACCATGGAGGCGGTCGAATTACCTGGTTGTGACTGGACTACTTACAGGTCACTATGATAGAGCTGGGATACTGCTGCCTACATTCATTTGTGGTTCATTCCAATAATCATGCAACCCCCCAAAACCATTCAAAAGCATCAAACATACATACATCTACTTTGATGACAGATCCTTTGAAACTGCTGGAATGTAAGTACACCTCCAACTTCATTCTTATGACAGGGGAGGTAACTTGTTTGTGACAGCTCACACACTTAGATGCCCTGCAATAATCACATAAACATATTGATAAAAACATTGATCTTTACTGTTACATTCTAAAACTTTATGAAAACCTTTGCATACTATAATGTTAATATGTGTTTTCAAATTTGTGGTCATATTCTGTTTTCGAGTACTGTAATTTTCAAATATTAAAGGGTTATTCTGGTGAATAGAGACAGCAGGTTTTTGAGCAAAAACAGCAAAAAATAACATATAAAAGTAAACATGTTAAACAACACTTGCTTCTCCCACGTTAGATATACATAAAGATATATTTGAACATAAAAATAAAACAAAACAACATATTTATCTACAAAACAAATCCAACATGCTGATGCAATCTAGACGTGCCAAATCATTCTAGACTTGAGTGGGATTCTACTTTATGTATACTCTAGGGTCTGGGAGACTGACTTCCTGTGCCAGTCTAGACGTGCCAAATCATTCTAGATTTGAGTGGGATTCTACTTAATGTATTCTCTAGGGTCTGGGAGACAGACATCCTTTTTTCAATCTAGACTTGCAAAATTATTTGACTTGAGTAGAACTCCTATTTGATGTATTCTCTAGGGTCTGGGACACAGACTAACAGTATGGTTGCCCTAGCTACCTATTGTGCATCATAAAGAGGGTTGATACAAGTGACTCACGCTGGTCTCTCACGGTCTTGCACAAGCCGGTCACTGCCACACCCATCACATTCCTCCCAGGTGTAGGCTGCATCCTCATCAACACTGCCTACTGTACCTACAAGTACAGAAACACCATCTTCCAAGTCGCATGGATCACACACACATTATCTATCATGCAATCACACTTCAAGATTTGTCGCAGATTGCTAACTAGGTGCCTTTGATTACACAATGCCATTTATAGGTGCCTTTGGCTGGCAAATTGGGAAGAATACCATGATGTTGTCCAAAATTGGATGTTTTGATTGTAAATTCTGAGAAATTTCAATTGGGAATTTTTACTGTCATTTGCAGCAGCCTTGGGGATGAATATAAATCTCTAGGTCTAGATAAATCCCTACCCTTGGTTACAAGCACAAAGACAGCAACCATCTTCTTTTACATAGATGATGTACAGTTTCAACTAGAATATTTAAATGCATTCATGCAACTAGTGCACATTTTATTGTGAATCATGGCGACTTACTACTACAGAGGCACTGAGATTTGAAAACCTGCTCCCTAGTAAAAAGATTGTCCCATACAATTGTTTACAATATCTATCTTCTTAAAATCAGATGGTCCACTGCAAAATGGGCTGGTTGTCTGTTATATAGAACAAACTAATTCACAGATGGGGTACTGTATATTTAGTCTGTTTCTATATATGTAGTATCTAATTTAATGCTTCAGAAAATTTCATGGGGCACTGCTATTTAGTAAATATACCTAGTACAGAAACCAAGACATAGGCATAACACTGTTAATTCTCTTAAGGGACACTGTTAGTTAGGCTAACTGCCTTGCACAGAAACCACACTGCCAGTTATTTCTGGAAGAGACACTGTTAGTGAGTCCACCTACCTTGTACAGAAACAAGGCTCCATGGCCTAACAGTGCCGGTTATTTCTGGAAGGGACACTGTCAGTGAGTCCACCTACCTTGTACAGAAACAAGGCTCCATGGCCTAACACTGCCAGTTATTTCTGGAAGGGACACTGTCAGTGAGTCCACCTACCTTGTACAGAAACAAGGCTCCATGGCCTAACACTGCCAGTTATTTCTGGAAGGGACACTGTCAGTGAGTCCACCTACCTTGTACAGAAACAAGGCTCCATGGCCTAACACTGCCAGTTATTTCTGGAAGGGACACTGTCAGTGAGTCCACCTACCTTGTACAGAAACAAGGCTCCATGGCCTAACACTGCCAGTTATTTCTGGAAGGGACACTGTCAGTGAGTCCACCTACCTTGTACAGAAACAAGGCTCCATGGCCTAACACTGCCAGTTATTTCTGGAAGGGACACTGTCAGTGAGTCCACCTACCTTGTACAGAAACAAGGCTCCATGGCCTAACACTGCCAGTTATTTCTGGAAGGGACACTGTCAGTGAGTCCACCTACCTTGTACAGAAACAAGGCTCCATGGCCTAACACTGCCAGTTATTTCTGGAAGGGACACTGTCAGTGAGTCCACCTACCTTGTACAGAAACAAGGCTCCATGGCCTAACACTGCCAGTTATTTCTGGAAGGGACACTGTCAGTGAGTCCAGCTGGCTGTGTGTCTTTCTCATCGAGCTGTTTTCAATATGGACAGGCGCTTCCTCCATAATATGAGTGTAAGCATCACAGTGAAAACTACCTGAAACGAGTGTTGTCATTATAATTCATGTTAGAATGTACAAATCATGGAAAAAGAATTAATTTATTAATTCATGCATCAAAGTTGACTCATGTTGATCCTCTTGGCTGATTGTGTGTCACAGAACCCCATCATCTCAGATTGTTGATCTTGTGGCCAGGCCCCAATTTCTCGAAACAAACTTAAGTCTGAGTTTTGACTTAAGTAAGAGTTTTTACTCAAATTTGAGAAAAAGCAGGAAAATGCATTTCCCAGAATGAACTGAAATCGATATTACACTCAAATATAGTAGACAATTTGAGTTGGGTAGATAGGCTACTTAAGTTGTTTGGGCTTTTTATTTTAAAAAATGCAGTTGAGTTAAAAAATCAGCTGTTTCAAATTGTCAAACTCAGTTTGAAATTAGAGTCAAAACTTAAGTTTGTTTCGAGAAATCGGGGCCTGGTCTAGTCCTCGTTATTTGAAGGATTTTGTGCTCAAGCTGAAAAATTGATGACTATGAAACTTTAACATTTTCATTTCTCACCTTGTCATTCAACACCTGACCAGATAGCAACTGGGCCCTGTGCCTTCCCTAGATAAAGCTTGGTGTTGATTATGAGGTTCTTGAGATATCTCGCTGACAAGGGTAAAACGTTAAAGTCCCTTGTGACCTTGAAATTAAAGTCAAGGTCACCAAACCTGACTGGGACCTTTCTTATACTGTGATGAACCTAGGTACCAAATATGAAAAGAACCTAGTCAACGTTTCTTAAGATATTCCAATTCGTACGTACGGATGAACGGAGCCTAATACTATAATCCCCCACTTCGCGCTAAACGCCCGGCAGGGGATAATAACATCTAAGCCTTACTCACCATTGGAGACACAGGTATCGGTGAAGACAGCTATGTGCCCTGCTAATACTGGGATGTGACAGTCCTGTGACAAGGTGACCAATGAGTAGGAAGATGGGAGACTGCTGTCTGTCACATACCAGTTTTCATGTACGTTTGGTCTGGACGTATCCTGAAATGTAACAGCCATGTTAAGGAACTCAATCAAAATGTATCATTCCATCCCTGCTCCCTCTTTTAAATGCAGTGAGATTTTAGCCTACCTCCGACTGTCTCTTGTGAAGGACTCTGGCAACAAATGACACTCTCTTGTCCAAGGCCATCTGTCGGAAACAGCAAGTGAGAGAGAGAGTGAGTCAGTGATTATCAGAGGTACAGATAAGCTGCGTATCTGCTTAAATTACGCAAATATTTATGTGAAAACTCAATTCCTATTAAGTTTATTGCGTACAAGTACGCCTGAATGTAAATACTCAATAAATTTGATCTTACATGTGTACACACAAAAATGTCAAATCTTAGCTTGTGTACCGGTGGATAAATAAAATAACTGAGGTATACCGAGAGGTTCTATTTCAGCACATGAACTTGGCAACTTGCAGTCTTTCATATTGTTTCTCATTTTACAGATCAATATAAATAACAAATAACGTAAACCAACATTTAAATTTTATTATATTTTTACAGTTTTATTATATGTTTACAAAATACCCAACTGAGTTTGAGTAAGGATACCCAATTGAGATGAACACAAGCGAGTACATAACTCAATGACCCAAAAACTTATCTGTAGCTCTGGATTATTGTTTAATGCTTCATCAGCAATTTTGCAGTTAGTCACGGTGAGAAACAACGTCGTGAGCGTCTATTTTGACATGTACAGTCAACTACAGTTATAGTAAACTCAAAGACACTCATTTTTTTAGACACTCATGTTACATGCATTTCAACTACAATTTACAACACGAGGTCGGGACAAAAAAATCCAAGTTCATTATTCCTGTCTATTCCTTTTAGGCAGGTTTATCCAAACATGTTACTGTAAGACACATGCATTCATGGGGTTTTCTTTAATGATAATTATCAGCTGTTAACTATAGAAATCTCATCGTATAACAAGTTGCTGATTGGAAATTCAACTCCAAGAATAATGGTCTTGAAAAAGGACACCAAGCATGGCTAATTATTCTGACATTACAATAAACATCCCACAGGTGAAGACGTATTATCCCGAAATAAGAATCCCAAGTTCCTGACCTGCCGTGCTCCAGCCAGTGTTTGGTAGTGTGGTTCTGTGTAGCTGGGGGCTGTCTGTGGGGTCACAGTGACAGACAGAGGGCAGTCCTCGGATGGGGACAGGATGTAGCAGAAGCCAGGGCAAGTCACGTGTCTCATCTGAGGAATGATGCCACATCAGTTACCAGAACATCTCATAAATACAATCATAACAAGTGTTTACCACTAATATGGCAACCCCGCCACTCAAGAAGAACGAAATATTTATAACATATTTACTACTTTATATTTTTTGGTCACATACAAGATGCCTGAAATGACTGGTGTCTGCAAAACCACCCATTGTAGGCTGTCGACATAATTGAAGACATTGGGTGCAATGTTTTATGAGATATGTTTTTAAGAAATGTTTATGAGGAATGTTTTTACATTTGAAAAGTGGTCAAAGTGTCGTGGTGACCTTGAAAATAAGGTCAATGTGACCAAAATTGACTGGTGTCACCAAATTTTAAGACATTGGATACAACAGTTCATGAGATATCGCGTTAACAAGAATTGGGACGTACGTACAGATGCTGCTGAATACATAGTCCCCCGTTCTGTGTTGCGGCAGGGGACAATGAGTGAAAGAGTTAGGTTAAATGCCTTTTTGAACAATGGTGAAACATATAAACCTGGGTATGGTGTTGAAAAACCCAGAAACTTAATGAGAGCAAACTGAGATTCAAACTCAATCATAAGTTCTTCATGTGCCTTAGGGATGAGTGAGTGAGTGAGTGAGTGAGTGAGTGAGTGAGTGAGTGAGTGAGTGAGTGAGTGAGTGAGTGAGTGAGTGAGTGAGTGAGTGAGTGAGTGAGTGAGTGAGTGAGTGAGTGAGTGAGTTTTATGCTGCTTTCAGCAACATTCCAGCAGTATCAATGCCGGGGCACACCAGAAATGGGCTTCACACATTGTACTCATGTAGGGAATCGAACCCGGGTCTTCGGCGTGACTGACTGAGTTTGGTTTTACGCAGCATTTAGCAATATTACAGCAACATCACTGCGGGGGACACCAGAAAAGGGCTTCACACATTGTACTCATGTAGGGAATCGAACCCGGGTCTTCGGCGTGACTGAGTTTGGTTTTACGCCGCATTTAGCAATATTACAGCAACATCACTGCGAGGGACACCAGAAAAGGGCTTCACACAATGTACCCATGTGGGGATTCGAACCCGGGTCTTCGGCGTGACAAGCAAACGCTTGTACCACTACGCTAACCCTCCACCCCTCCTAAGGGATGGAACTCAGGTGAATCTCAGGTGACCTGATAAAAATTATCAACCTTTTTACACCATGCATGCATTAGGTTTGGCCAGTTCAATTGCTTCTTTCAGTCTAACCAATAACTCTCTACCAGGAAGTGGTAAGAGAGACATGTAGTAAATACTCACAGTGCTGCTTGCTTGTTCTTCCTCCTGACTTTCCTGGCTGGAGACGGACGCTCTGTGACCTGACCATGCACCCTCCAGCACACTGAACAATGCCACATTCCTGCAACACTCACCAAGGTATATTAATGTTAAATCTGAATCCAAATACATGTATGTTGACAATAAAATCATTATGCATGCTTAAGTCATGATATCAACAATTTAATAACAATAGTGTCACCTCTCTTTGATGGATCTGGTGACAACTTTCAGCCCAGAGAAACAACACATGTGACCCTCGGCTAGAGTCACCTCATCCTGAGCAGAGTTATCTCCCATCTCTACGACAGCCATTGTGCCATGACTATCTTCCACTAACAAGGAATATCTGAAACAATGACAAAAGATATGCAAGTCTCCGATATCAACCACTGTTGTAAAACACAAGGATAAGTATTGTGCGGACAAATTATCATTAGCTTGGATTTCAAACCATGATCATCAAATTCTGGTGAAAAAGAGGGGCACAACCCTTGCTCCCTCCGACACTGCAGAAGGAAGGACTCGCGGGACTAACCTCCGACGTCTTACCTGGCTGCTGATGAGACAAACACCCTCTGTATGACAGCACGGAAGGTGAGGCCATGGCCAGGCCCCGTCCTCTGAATGCTCTCTAACAGAGAGTCACACACTGGAACAACCGGCAGCCGTGAGCTCGTCACCGTCTGGAGGAGACCAGACTGGGTGGCAGGATGACCTGTGTTCTGTGTGCTGCTCACATCAGCCTGTCAAACATGGACAGTTACAAATACATAGGTAATCAGAGAAACTACGGCGTATTTCAAATGGTGTCAGCAATTTATCTGGGAGTCTTTAATACTTAGTCCAGGTAGCCTTCTTTAAATACGGTTTTGGGTACAAGGCATACACATAAGTGGTTCACAGCTGGCTACATTCAGCACACCTCACTTTATATTCCTTTACTGATGTCACATTGCATATGTTCAGACACCTTAATAGATGGGTTTTTCAAAGTTAGACAGAAGAAATCCAAATGCTGGCAATTGTACTTGGAGTGTATTTTTTCATCAGAATAGACTGACTGACTGACTGAGTTTGGTTTTACGCCGCTTTTAGCAATATTCCAGCAACATCACGGCTGGGGACACCACAAATGGGCTTCACACATTGTACCCATGTGGGGATTCGAACCCGGGTCTTCAGCGTGACGAGTCAACGCTTTAACCACTAGGCTACCCCACCGCCCCTCATCAGAATAGAAATGTTAGTTATACATAGTGTACAATCTACAATCTTGATACAGTTTACAACCATATCACTTTGCATCGTACATAACTTGCTGTAGTTTGCATCAGTACACAATCTGTAATCATTGTAGATGAAATATTTTGCTCGAAGTAAAACTGTGGGTGTCTATACATTTTCACTACTGTACAGAACCCAGGAAAAGGTTACATGAGCATGTTATTCTGTACTGGGTAGCCAAGTGATTAAAGCATTCACTTGTCACGCTTAAGACGCGGGTTGGAATCCCCACATGGGTACAACGTGTCAAGCTCAGTTCTATATCACATAAAGCAGAGATTTATGCAATTATTCAAAGACAGTCAAGTTAACTCCTACATACAAATTACTAGAAATTAGTTTATATTAATGGTAAAATACTCACGCCCTGTAGGGATGATGGCAGATATGGAAACTGTGTCACTGGACAATTTGCAACAGACATATTCGCATCTGGAGACCAAACACAAGTGTCAACAATGAGCAGTGAGTGAGATGGATGACAAAGCCTTGAACCACACAACATTTACACCAAGCATGTCTGCATAACGTGATCATGTTTACCGCCTAGAAATTTACTTGCACAAGTATAGTGCAGAAAACTCTTGGGGAATTATTAACATAAACCTAAGTGATTGTGTGAACAATGTGTTGCTTCATTTGCCACTTTAACTCTTTAACAAACTGTCATAAGAGGTGACTAATGGGATTGGGTGGTCAGACTTACTGACTTGGTTGACACATGTCATGGTATCCAAATTGCTTAGATTGATGCTCATGATGCTGATCACTGGATTGTCTGGTCCAGATTTGATTGTTTCCAGACCGCCTTCATATAGCTGGAGTATTGCTGAGTGCGGCGTTGAACAACAAACCAACCAACAAACTTTACGGAACACAGCAGTGGTTAAATTCAGACAAACCTCAGGGATTCCTATTACATGGAAAGCTTAATTACTTCAAGATAATGTAATTTTTATGATAAAATTGATATTTCAACTTTGTGAGAAAGCACGATAACAAATCTAATAAGACGAACCATTGGTGCAAGGACAGTTCCATGTAGCTATCACATCGGTTTTCACCAAATCCAAGGACTTCGCTCCCCATGTTTGTTGAGTAACAGGGGAGACAACTCTTGTGTAATGAGTGCACAGTAGCACTGTCTGTTTCTGACTGGTCAGCTGTAGTTGTTGCCTGGAAAAATGAAGATACATATTACAGATGTAATATCTTGATGAAGGAACAATATAGTTATACACTATAGTTAGAGAGTGGATGTAGCAAAGGTCAGCAGTTTCCAACAATGACCCACCCTAGCCATGACCTACAATCAATCAGCCTCATATTGATTCATGAAGATCCAGTAGTGGGGGGCTGTGGTATAGCTACAGTTAAGAATTGGTTGTAAGCAACCCACGCTTGTGGTAAGAAGCAACTAAAGAAATTGGGTGGTCATTCTCACTGACTTGGTTGACACATGTGATCATCTCCCAATTGCGAAAATTGATGCAAATAATGTTGATCACTGGATTGTCTGGTCCAGACTCAATTATGTACAGACCGCCTCCCTGTCGCTGGAATATTGCTGAGTGCTGCGTTAAACAAACACACAAACAGACAAACCTGTGACCAGGGCTCCAGATAATTTTTTAACATCAGGAGTACGTACTTCTTATTTTTTCAGGAGTACTGGAAAAACTTTAAGAGTACATTTAGAGTACTGAATGGAATTTAATGGAGTATCAGCAATTCATATTTGCACAACATTGCCACTCTTGTGTTAACAGGTCAATAAACAATAAAACAATACTTTTTCAGATAAATACATCTGTAAATTATTCTAAGACCGTACACCATTGCTGTGGTGCGTATCTGCTACATTTTCTACATTATTTCCTACTGTATTGTGCATATTGTTTATCCATACATAAGCCAATACGGCCCTTATTTGGAGCCCTGCTGGGACCACACATTCCTCATCTTAGTTGGCTCTAATCCTGAATAGTCCTGGAGTATTGTACATTAATAGAATACAACCTACTACAAGGTTTTGCCCTTGTAACACTAAGGCCATATAGATTTCCTTTTAATATTTGGGTATGAAGGAAGGGGAAATACCATGGAGGGTATAGTGTGACCATTGACCCAGCGTCTATCTGCAGCTTATCCATCATCTGCTTGGAGAACAGGATCAACTGCTTCTTCCATCGGTTGTCATTACCATCTGGGCTGTTACCTTCACCTCCATCCTCATCAATGTCAGCTACTTCACAGTGAGCAAGTTGCAGGGAGAAGAGGATTTCAAAGCTCAAAACCCGCACAAGGAGGGCTTTAGAAGCATCTGTAAAACAGTAATCTAGGTTGATCCTGAATTTATCTGCTGTGATAATATTGATTTCTTTTCAAAAGCTGGAGTTTAGGTCAGTGTGCGAATTATTTTCCAAATTGTGATAGCCAGTCGGGCTAGCTATGCCTGAGATTTACTAGCCCACAAAATAATTCACTAGCCCGAAATTTGAATGTAGAAACTTAGCAAACGATTACAAAAATGGATGAGAATAAGATATTGTTGGCATGACACGGTTTCATCATTAAGCTGCTAATATGATGAACATTTTTGTCAGGCCATAATCTTGCATGATGTGAAAGTCTGAGAGAGTGTTATATTTACAAAATGACCCCATGAAAATTCACCAGCCATTTATACTGGCCACGGGCTAGCGGGCCAGTGGCTATTTAGCACACTGGTTTAGGTTCAGGACTGAAACAATGTACCAGTCTGTTCAACCTTCATAATGTCATGAGTCTGTGAACAACAGTTATTACTTATCAGAAATTCAGACGAACATCATCCAAAAACATACTGCACTAATTTGTCAGGCGCATTAACCTCTTCAAGAATAGACCATAAACAATCACTCTAAGTTCCTATTATAGGCAGCAGAAAGTTTGGTTTTATACATACAAATGCTAACTTATGCTGTGTTGTTTTCTTCATTCTGGGATAAGCTAAATTTCTGGCTCCTTCAGAGTCTAACCATGTTGACCAAGTCTGAAAATATTTCCCTGTGACTGATAGGGTGAGTGAGCGAGTGAGTGAGTGAGTGAGTGAGTGTGAGAGTGTGAGTTAGTGTATTAAACTTTAGTTATAGTTTCAGCAACCAGGAAATATTTCCCTGACTGAAAGAGTAAGTGAGTGCGTGTATTAAACTTTACACAGTTATAGTTTCAGCAACCCAGCAAACAGGAAATATTCCCCCCCCCCCCCTCCTTGAAGTTTGCTGTTTCAGTATGTTAATCTATTCTGTAAGTTAAACATGAGAGTTTGCAAAAGCCCCCTTAACTTTCAATTTAAAACTAATGACTGTATTTCATTCCCATGAGCACCCTGGATAACAGACAAAACTGGACAAACTAGCCACAATATGACTATATGAAATCAATTTAGTTTGTTTTAATGAAATAAGAATATTGTTGCCTTCACCTGTGAGGTCAGAGCGTCGATGCTCCCACATCCTGACCGCTGATCTCTCCCTTGCCTGCACACGGGCCAGCTGTTCTGCAAGGCCACCTCTAGACAAGGGGAGATAAACCTGTTGTTACTCCTACACATCAGCTTTTCAAGATGAAATAATAACCAACAAATTGACAAGTACATGTACATTAACATATGCAGTATATTTGGCTCTCTTGTCAACTATCATGTGTATCTCATTGCATTCTGAAAAACCCAGAATTTATGCTCCTTGACTGCACATATGAAACATAAAAATGTACCTACATGGCCTAAATGTAACCAGTTACGTCACAGGAAAAGACTGTTGCTATTATCAGTCCTAATCTTATTTTGCAGTTAATCTTTCACAATCACAAACAGATTTGTATGATAGTTCATCTTTTTTTTAATATCATTAGAATCTGTGGGTTTTTAATGATAATTCAGAAAATCATTATTTTTTTAATACATTCTTTACTTTTCACGTTGGTGGATCAGTAAAACCAAGAAAGAAGTTTAACTGCCTAAGAGTTGGTCTGACTGAGCTAGTGAGTGAGTGAGCTAGTGAGTGAGTGAGTGATTGAGTGTAGTTTTACACCGCTTTTAGCAACATTCCAGCCATATCACGGCGGGGGACACCAGAAATGGGCTTCACACACTGTACCCATGTGGGGAATCGAACCCTGGCCTTCGGTGTGACAAGCGAACGCTTTAGCCACTAGGCTACCCCACCGCCCCTGAGCTAGTGACTGACTGACTGAGTATTCTTTTATGCCGTTTTTAGCAATATTCCAGCCATATCACGGCGGGGGACACCAGAAATGGGCTTCACACACTGTACTCATGTGTGGAATCGAACCCTGGCCTTCGGTGTGACAAGCGAACACTTTAGCCACTAGGCTACCCCACCGCCCCTGAGCTAGTGAGAAGCAGTGCTAGGATCTGCATACTTGTGATATTTCTTCTTCTTTTTGGCTGAGTCTGGGTCAGGCTGGAGCTGCTCATCTTCCTGGCTGCTGCTGGCCTTGACGGGAGTCTGCCAGTCCATGGCCTTCATCCAGTCACTGGCCTTCAGCCCCGAGGTGTTTTTAGTGGGTGAGTAGGAGCTGGAAGCCTGGCTGGACTGGTACGTCACGATCATTGGAGAGTTGAGGAGTGCCTGTCACATAAAACAATAGATGAATTGTGAAGTGCCTGGAATCGTACAAAACAGTTAGGCAGTGTATGCAGCGATACACACTTGTAAAAGCTTGAGAAGCCTGAAATAGGACTCAGCAACTGGGAATGACTGCTATATTACAAGGTATATTACAACAAAACAAAACTTCTTTGAGTGCCTATAAAAGTACACAACAGCAGACAACTCGAAGTGCCTGAAACAATACACAACATCTTGGAGTGTCTGCAACAGTTTACATATCTTGGGAGCCTACAACAGTACACAACAGCAATGAGTGCCTACAAAAGTAGCAGACAACTCGAAGTGCCTGAAACAGCACACAACCAGTGTGAAATAGTTTCCAAGTTTTGCTAGCCAGTCGGGCTAGCTATGCCTGAAAGCTACTAGCCCACAATATAATTCACTAGCCCGAAATTTGAATGTAGACACGGGTTTTATCATTAAGCTGCTGATATGATGAACATTTTTATCATCATAATCTACCATGATTTAAAAGTGTATCATAACATAACAAGTCAGAGAGAGTGATATACAAACTGTATTTACAAAATGATCCCATGAAAATTCACCAGCCAGTCGGGCCAGTAACTATTGAGATTTACTGGCCTGACTGGATTTTACTAGCCATGGGCTAGCAGGCCAGTGGCTATTTTGCACACTGCATGAGCCTACTATTTCATGCTTAGCATTGATCTAAATTTAATAAACATGATATAAAGTAATAGAAGTTATTCCATTAAGTATATAGTGTTACAGTTACACATGGGGTGCCTACAACAGTACATACCACCTGTGAGTGCCTACATTAGTAAATAACTGGGAGTGCCTACAACAATACATAACACATGGGATGCCTACAGCATTACATAACAACTTGTGAGTGTGTGAGTTGGGTTTTAAGCTACTTTTAGAAATATTCCATCAATATCAGGGCGGGGAATACCAGAAATGGGCTTCATACATTGTACCCATGTGTAAGTTGGGTCTTAAGCCACTTTTAGAAATACACCTGGGCTTCAGCGTGATGAAAAGGCTACCCCACCGAACCACATAACACATGGGAATGCCTACTAGACTAAAGCACACAACAGTTTGGGAGTCAGGGACACCCAAAAGCTACATTAATTTTCATGAACACTTGTGGAAGCTTCTCAGCAGACATATCCGATGTTACATCCTGTTTCACACAGGGTTGTAGGCATGTTATCAGAACACAACCTGGCTATCTGCTTGTAGCCATGTGCAACTTCCTTGTACAATATTGTATTTGATTAGCATTACACTCATAATTACTCTGCCGCGTTGCTACAGAGCCCGACATTTATTACACTAGGGTAAAGATAACAAACTGTGACTTGGAGAGATCATAATATAATACTGTTCATTTTAGTTTATCATCCAAAACTGTGTTCCACAGGAGATATCGCTTGTGTGAGATCAAACGATATCTCCTAGGAGATATCGTTTTGACAGTAGATCTTGTACAATGCCCTAACAATGCTATGACGTCATGTACTTGATGACGTCACAATGCTATGACATCGCTGCACTGCAAGTCTAATGGCAGTACCATGTTCAGAGATGTACATTTTTCATTGAAAATTAATGAAGAGTGATTTTGGATGATAAATAGAATCTCACCCTCGTGTCTTCTGATATCAAATATATCAACACTTGTTGATAAAAGTAAAAATATCCTCGGCAAGCCTCGGATATTTGTAACTTTATCAACTCGTGTTGATATAATTGATATCAGAAGACACTTGGGTGAGATTCTCTATTTATCATCAAAGTAGCCACAAGCTACTTGTCAAAGATTCTTGTGGTTACACACCCAATCTGTCAAAGATTCTCTAAATTACACACCCACCCAACCAACTGTACCCTTTCTGGGCATCTATGTCATGAAGATTTTACTTCATTTACCCATGACTAACACCTATTTACTTTCATCAAACACGTCAAAAACCGGAATCACTGCCTCGCACCGGGTGCAAGAGACTGACTGACTGACTGAGTTTGGTTTTATGCCGCTTTTAGCAATATTCCAGCAACATCACGGCGGGGGACACCAGAAATGGGCTTCACACATTGTACCCATGTGGGGATTCGAACCCGGGTCTTCGGCGTGACGAGCCAACGCTTTAACCATTAGGCTACCCCACCGCCCCGGGTGCAAGAGAAAACACAATAGTGTCACGGTACTGCAGCTCACATGTGTTTGTGCAGTCAACAGGTTGAAATGTCATTAGCATATGTACCCTTGTAGATCCGGGATAGAATTGATCTTCAGTAACCCATGCTTGTCGTAAGAAGCAACTAACAGGATCGGTTGGTCAGGCTCGCTGACATTGTTGACACATGGGTTACATGTCATCTCATCCCAATTGCGCAAATAATCTGAACTAAATACAGTGTCATCATGTAGAGAAACACGCTGAAAACTTCAACTGGGTAGTCAGTTGGGGTATTTCAGCACATTCATGGGAGAAGAGATTTTACAGAGCAAACTATGCGTTTCAGAAATAATTTAAGAAAAAGTTAAACAATTCACATTAAATAGAAAATTGGGCTTGTTTTGAAATCCCAGACTAACAGAACAATGACTAAATTTAATAACATTTTGTATATAATTAGTGCAAAAGCAATATGTTTTGTAATGTGCAATGTGGTTGTTATGGCAGCAACATTTTAAACCAAATTGAACCTCCATTATTTCTGAGAATAGCATATCAGCAGTACAAAAAAATTATTTGAAGAGAATTTGGAAGAATGGTCAAATTCAAATTCAAACAAAAGTCCAAATTTAAAATTATTGTTCAAAACAAAACATAAGTGTTCAGCTACTGTCATGGCTGAGTAATGGCCAAATTAAAGTCACAGCTTTCACACTGTTTTATATGCATTGGATTCAGACCTCTTACATAAACATGCATAGATCGATTCTCATGCTGTTGATCACTGGATTGTCTCATCTGGACTTGATATATGCATTGGATTCAGCCCTCTTACATACACATGCATAGATCGATTCTCATGCTGTTGATCACTGGATTGTCTTGTCTAGACTTGATATATGCATCGGATTCAGACCTCTTACATAAACATGCATAGATCGATTCTCATGCTGTTGATCACTGGATTGTCTTGTCTGGACTTGATATATGCATCGGATTCAGGCCTCTTACATAAACATGCATAGATCGATTCTCATGCTGTTGATCACTGGATTGTCTTGTCTGGACTTGAAATATGCATCGGATTCAGGCCTCTTACATAAACATGCATAGATCGATTCTCATGCTGTTGATCACTGGATTGTCTTGTCTGGACTTGAAATATGCATTGGATTCAGGCCTCTTACATAAACATGCATAGATCGATTCTCATGCTGTTGATCACTGGATTGTCTTGTCTGGACTTGAAATATGCATTGGATTCAGACCTCTTACATAAACATGCATAGATCGATTCTCATGCTGTTGATCACTGGATTGTCTTGTCTGGACTTGAAATATGCATCGGATTCAGGCCTCTTACATAAACATGCATAGATCGATTCTCATGCTGTTGATCACTGGATTGTCTTGTCTGGACTTGATATATGCATCGGATTCAGGCCTCTTACATAAACATGCATAGATCGATTCTCATGCTGTTGATCACTGGATTGTCTTGTCTGGACTTGATATATGCATCGGATTCAGGCCTCTTACATAAACATGCATAGATCGATTCTCATGCTGTTGATCACTGGATTGTCTTGTCTAGACTTGAAATATGCATTGGATTCAGACCTCTTACATAAACATGCATAGATCGATTCTCATGCTGTTGATCACTGGATTGTCTTGTCTGGACTTGATATATGCATCGGATTCAGGCCTCTTACACAAACTTGCATAGATCGATTCTCATGCTGTTGATCACTGGATTGTCTTGTCTGGACTTGAAATATGCATCGGATTCAGGCCTCTTACATAAACATGCATAGATCGATTCTCATGCTGTTGATCACTGGATTGTCTTGTCTGGACTTGATATATGCATCGGATTCAGGCCTCTTACATAAACATGCATAGATCGATTCTCATGCTGTTGATCACTGGATTGTCTTGTCTGGACTTGATATATGCATCGGATTCAGGCCTCTTACATAAACATGCATAGATCGATTCTCATGCTGTTGATCACTGGATTGTCTTGTCTGGACTTGAAATATGCATCGGATTCAGGCCTCTTACATAAACATGCATAGATCGATTCTCATGCTGTTGATCACTGGATTGTCTTGTCTGGACTTGATATATGCATCGGATTCAGGCCTCTTACACAAACTAGCACATGAAGTTTCAGTTTCAGTTTCAGTGGCTCTATAGAGTAGAGACTGAATGGTGGGGTAGCCTAATGGTTAAAAACAGTGCTGGCTCGTAGAGACTGAATGCCTAATGGTTAACCCGGTTCGACCCGGTTCGACACATGGGCACAATGTGTGAAGCCCATTTCTGGTGTCCCCCGCCGTGATAGTGCTGGAATATTGCTAAAAGCGACATAAAACCCAACTCACTCACCCCTATAGTACAGACGTTTACAATAGGTGACTTATGATGTACATGGGGCGTTGGGGTAGCCTAGTGGTTAACATGTTCACTCATCACACCAAAGACCTGGGTTCGATTCCCCACATGGATTCAATGTGTTAAGAACATTTACTGTGGTCCTGCTCAGTGATTTAGATGAAATACTGCTAAAAGCAGCATAAAACTACACTCACTCACTTATTAGGATGTAAGACATACAATGGATAAACAGGCCATGATATACCAGAACGTTCATTTTGCTCAAAGCCAGGTGAGCTTAAAACATGAAAATACATAATACTTCCTTCTGTCTTGTACATACAAGGAAAATATGAGTCAAACACAAAGGGAGGAAACATGAACAACCATGGTCAAAGGCCAACATACTATCATATAGTC